TTATAAATAGGATGCAATCAAAAAATATCCTACATATTTCAAATTTGTTATAATATCAAAACTATAAAATTCAAAATAACACATCAAAAAAATCATATAATAATCAAATAAAAAAATAGAAAAATGTATAATTATTAATAATAATTAACAATAATTTAAAAAAAAATTATATAATAATAAAATAGATGAAATAGAAAAATATATAATTATTAATAGGTAATAATTAACATTACTTATGTAGGTAATACGTACGACATATTTACATAATTTATGTACAGATTTATTATTGATATATATTATATTTAGATACTTATATCTTTATTTACACAATAATAAAATAAATGATATAATAATAAATAGTGATCATTAGTTCGTTAATATAAGATAATATTTTAGGTATTGTAATTTTTTTTTTATGACGTCGTTAAAAAAAAAGTTATTTGTGGATTTAATTTGTATTTACATTTTTTGTATAATTGAATGCCATTGATTTAATGAACTCATACCGACTTAACTCTCCTCTATTGTACTTTTCTATTGTTTCTTCGTTTTTTAATTGGCGTTCTCTTACTTGTCTATCTTTAAGAAAGTGTTGTAAGTGGATACTATTTAATTTAATATAAACATCAGTTTGGATTTATTGTACCACAGCCAACCACATATGAATTGGTGGAGAATTATTATAAAAACTTTTGTTAAAAAATGAGTGAAAGGACTAGCATACATTTGTTGTCTTGATTAACTCTGATGATTTAGCTGCCCAAAGCTTTGGTGGGAACATACTTTCGTCGGATATAAAGTTATCAGTTAAATAATCACAGAACTTTTGTAGTTTTTCATTTTTAGGGCAGTCACTCATTAAATCTTCTACAAAACAATCACCTACTTCTTCAGGATTTAAAAATAGTAAACCAAACGTGTAGTGTATCCACTTACCGACATTTGAAGACTGGTCTTTATAGTGTGTAGCCAAACCAAATTGTTGCACATTTCTCCACCATGATTGGGTTAAATGAAACCTAAATCCAATTATTTCCGTATTTGGCCAAACAATTTGTATTGCTTTATGTATCGCATATTCAAAATCAACCACACATTTTAACGGCGATAAACGTTATCCAAGACTATTACATTTTTCGGTGATTTTTTTAAACACAAATGCATATGTATGTTCCGATTTATCAACTGATAGGCAAAAAACTAATGGTACATAATGACCATTTTTATATCCATGAATAGTGAACATTTGTTCAAAAAATCTTGCAGAATATTTAAACGTGCCATCAACGTATACGTTTTCAACATTGCTCAAGAAATGTAAATTTTTTTCACAGGAAAATATTATAACATTTTTATTTTCATCGTTATTCAATACAAAATGTTCACCTCTTGTAGTGTTTATTTCAGTTGCGTTAATATACTGATGAACTTCATTTATATCAGTAGGGTTAGGAGAGAGGACTTTTGCACGAGATTTATACATATTGTTCCTTAACCTTTTTATATCAACTACGTTTAAATATGATGATGCGTCATTTTGAGCAATTTCTTTTAATATTAATTTTTTCGGTCTTGTGTGGAGATCTTCTAAAGATTTTCGTTTACATGCTGTGTTTATTATTTGGCGATTAATATTCGATTTATCATATTCATTATGATTGTGTTCTCCGACTGCTGAAATAAAAGCATCATTTTTATCTGTATATAATTTTGCATCACACGTTCTTGTTACACATCTCCAACGGGTAGAGTTGTCTTTTTTATTAGTCGATCCAAAATTATACTTAAAATTATTATAAAGAACCATACAAGCACCTCTTTTACTTTCTAAAAATTCCATTTTTATAAAATTTAGTTACTATAATCACGAGAAAAATCACAATCACACTATTCGGCACAAAAGTGAATGACATACTAAAATTAAAGCTGTTATGATTGTTACATATCGATATCAAATTTGTTAAATTATATTATATATATATATATAAATATATTATGTTATATCAAATATATTTGTAATCTAGATATTGTTATCGGCCTGGCCGGTCTAGTGCACCGAAGGGTTTTTGATTGTTATTAATATAGTCAGTCGAGAAAGTGTATAAAGGTGCCGACTTCTCTATCGAAATATATAGTTTAAAACACTTTAATAAATGTTATAATTACTTATAAGTCATAATTAATGTGAATATTTGTATTATTTTACAACAACAAAACAAACTATTTATTTAAGTTATAACCTGATCAAATTACTTATTAGTTATTTTACATCGATGACACTATTTTAAATACTTATACACTTCTTAAATTATTGTTAATTATTATTAATAATTATATATTTTTTTATTTTTTTATTTGATTATTATATGATTTTTTTTAAATTATTAATTTTGAGACAGTGGTTTCCAAAATTTAAAACGTGAAACCGTGGGCGAAAAGAATGCAATTATTTTTAGGCGAAAAGAGGAAACTGTTTTTTCATTTTTGGTCGAAAAGAGGACGTGGGCAAAAAGAGGAAGGTCAATTTTAGGCGAAAGGAGTTCCGCCCTGATTTTGTAGATATTTAAAATTAACGCGTTTAGTAGCTTAAGTAAAAGAAGAATCGACTTATGGATATCGTTTTTCTTGTTGTAATAGTCTTACTATTTACTTAACATACCTAACATACCTACTAATTGTTACTTATGTAATAATTTGGAAAATTTAAGTATTTTTAAATATTATCAATGAAAACAAAATACTTCAATTAATAAAATAAAATTAACAAAGTTTTTATTAAGTTATAAGGATTAAACAATTAGTTATTTGTAATTAAGCTATTTGTGTTAAAGATTTTAACCTGATATTAGGATTTATTACTCAAAAATCAAACTACTTAAAAAAAAAAATACTTTTACTTGTTATTGTCATGTATCGGTTAACATTTATATTTGTAAGCTTTGATGTTAAGTCGATAATAAAACATTATTCATTCAATGCTTAAATTGAATTATATTCATTGTACAATGGTTGTAAATGAATAGTATTAAGATAGTGTTGTATACTGCACAATATCATAACTGAAATAAATTAATACCTACTTACTATATGCGAATTAAAAAAGTGGAAAAAAATTAATGATTATTAATAATGCAGTGTTTTTTAGAAGAAAAATTTCCAGTTATTTTGAGTAATGGTGCAATCAGGAAAAGTCTCAAATACGTATCATTTGAATTAAACAATAATTAAATCGAACAGGATTAGAAGAATTTAAATATAACGTTTCGATAAAATTAAAATTTCGAAATAAGAAGCTGAGAGCTTTATTAAAAATTGACTTTCGATTCTACAACGAAATTTCTATGTAGTATGTATGAAACAATTATACCACCCCTATTTCAGTGCCGTTGCTCTATAGCAGATGTCGATGACTTACTAACATATTTTGTTTAATTATTTATCGGTAGTAATAAATCGGTTCCAAGTTATTAATTATTTTGGAAAATCTAAAATGCAAGGTTTTCCGATTAAGTGAAAAACATCCAAATGACTGCGATCATCGTATATGTCTGTTACGAGCTTTAGCAAAGTGAGTTGACATACTAATATTTTGAATTAATTCATAAACAAACTGTAATGAAATGCATATTATTACGCCACTAAACTTCATAATTAAATATCATATTATTCATTATCCATCTTAATGCTTAAGTAAATAATCATATTCATAAACAATATCATAACAATCAAAATTATATCAGTAATATTTATATTTATAATTATACTTAATAATATCTAACACATTTTCAATAGCACACAATATAGATACATGGGTATTTTACAAACTACTATAATATATTAAAATAATTACCGAACAATTAGTTATAATATATTTTTTATTTATTTAGTCCTTCATATCATAAAAAACATATTTTTATAATACAAATGTATTTTTATAAAAGATCAAGTCATAAAAAAATATTTTATTTTAAAAATTTATTCATTTATCAAATTAAAACTTATAAATTTTAAATCCAATTAATATAAATCATTAGATATGAAAAAAAAATATATTTAATTTTAAAATATTCTAATACTGTCTGTTTGTAATTTGGATGTATTTTATTGTTTCACTTCTATGGTTGCACTACTTTATGACTCCATATATTACCTTTATAAGTAAACATAAATTTGATTATTAACTTATAATAAAATAAAATTTAATCAAACAAGTTATAATATTGTGGCTATGTAGCTAATTTGCATAACTGTTACATATGAATTATTTCATGCTCTTATCAAACAAATAAAATCTTATTACTACTTTATTAGTATAAGTTCAAAGTTTATAAAGTTCCTCTACATTGCTTAATACTCGATTACGGGTAATAGTCTGGTATTCTATTTACGTATCTAAAATAAATTAAAGATGGATTGTGTTCTAAATAATTTTTTTTTCATGTTTAGCTTAAGTTCTTAATGTTAAACATTCTTAACACATACTTAACGAAAAACAAAAGTTCTTTTACAACTATAATTCAGTAATTGAACTAAGAACTATTGAAAAACAAGATGATTTGATGATAGATAACAAAAAATAAAAATGAACATGAATTAACCTAACCTAACGTGCACTCATTGCTGTATATGATTACGGTTCTATCAATTAAAATATTATATCGTGTGCAATATCACCAATCCAATATTGTTTTACAGTAATTAAGTAACCCATTCCTGTCAAATTAAAAAAAAATCAAAAATCAATACTGTAAGTTGGTTCCTTGCATTGTCATGTCGTTGGTCGTAATCAGAATAATCAGATTTCCAAGCGTAATATTATAGAAAATGCTAAAGTTTTCGATGTAACTCACGAGGAAAGAAACCTAGAACGCGCTAGTACTGGGTGATAACCTCGCGTGACCGTAACGTATAGTAGGTCATGGCTTTTATAATAACAACAATAACAGGTATTTATTACAATAAACAGATCAAAATACGTATTACGTTGCCCGTAATCACTGTAATTCCAAATTAATTATTTAGGCAGCAAGGTCCAATGAATTGAGATTCAGTATAACCTCGGCGTACGGAAGTCAGAACTCGGTTCATCCAGTGCCACTCCGACTACGCGAACGCTAACAGTACGACGACGCGAAGTGAGTCGTGACGATACCGCAATTCCGCCGATCGTACGTGAAACCGCGGTTGAATGAGAGATGGCCGTAAACGTGGACAGGACGATTGAGGACATGACCGCAGCAGGATCGTTCGGGCAGGACAGCAGGATCGTGTCGTTCAAACCGGAAGGGCTGCACACGGAACAAGACAATTTCGCATCTTGCGTAGTGTATGGCGTGGCCATCGTCGACGACCACGATGGTCGACGTCGTAGCCATCGGATCGTGTTCAAGTACAAGCACGCGGAGTTCGAATTGCGTGAATTATGTAACAACGATAATCAGTTCCATAACGAGATGCTGTTCTACGAACGGATTGCCCCGTTCCTGTTAGCCCACGGTTCTCGTCGGCACGACAGCGGGACCGATGATACAATGCTCTGTCGCTACATTTACGGGCGCAACAATTGCGGCGATGAATGGCACCGACGTGATCGTCTTGAAAACGCAACCGTTAACGGATACCGGAAGTCGGTGATCGGACACAAGTTGAGTTTGGATTTCGATCACTTGAACGTGGCACTCAGGAAGTTGGCAAAGTGAGTGATCAAAGCAATCGTCAAACGTGTTAATTGAATAGTTCAGCTCGAGTTGAAATCAATAGTTCTCGGTGGTATACGTTTGTATAATCGACTGTCCTTCGTTTTAATTTTATCGTTTTATGTTGTAGGCGCACAAAAGGTACGATTCGAATTCATTACAGCGTAAATTATCTAATATAATATCTTTAATGCTGATATTCGTTTTCAGTACTTTAGTACTACGAATGAAACTATGAAAATGGTTGATTGTTCGTAAATGCGTCCTGTTCGTTCATACAGTTTATCAGTAATGTAAAACAAAATAATAAAGATTATTGGAAACACTAAATATTATAATGCATTTGGTGTTTTTAAATAGCGATGACAATTTAACAACTAATTGGTTTAAAAATAATAACAACAAAATTATCTGATATTTTCTATTACCATAAAATTATTTTTTTATACATTATATAAAGTACATACTAGCTACTATATCAATAATAAGACTTATAAATTATTGTACTTACGTCAATCAAAACAACGATTGTTTAATTTCTAAAATGTATATTCATTATTAAATCGGTATTATATATATGAACCTCCAATAAATTAAAGGTTTTAATATAAAAATTTAAATAATATATTTATGAGTATATGCATACACGATTCAATGATTTTCGCGCAACGAAGAAAATAATAAGTAGCATAGTTTATTTTTAAAATCTATACGGATATATTATTTGTATTTGATTTTGGACTGTATTGTCATTGTAATTATTATTACGTAGAGATATTTGTATAATGTTTATTATTTTTCTTTGTCCGCGAACACTTTTGACCATTAAAATTCACCTATTACATCTTAACTTTATTTTACCGCAAATTTAACTTTGGATATTATAATGTTAAAAGTATTACAAAAAGTATCTAAAGTCATTAGATATATAATCTCTATAGCTATTCATGAATTGTATAATTTGATAGTACAATAAAAATATTAACTCAATATCAAAAAGTATATAAGAAAATAAGTTAGCTTTCTTGTCTCGGATGTGAGCTTATTATGAGATACAAGTCTGTAAATAAACCTTCATAAATAACAAGTATTAAAATGACCGAACTGTAATCGAACAAAACCAAACGCGAAAACCCTGTACAAATACGGTTTGAGCGGATCATTAAACGTGGTTTTAACCAACGTAAAATATAAAAAGTATAATAAATTACAGATGTCTAAAATGTATTCATTTAAATTAACTATTTTATTTTTTTAACTAATGGAAACTTTATTTGCTAGCTAATAGCAACTCAAAACAATAAGTACTGTTTTTGATAAAAACTTTTGTTAACTGATCTTCATAATGTGAAATTTGTGAAAATCTTTGCTGGTATAAAGTTATCGAATTATATAGATAAAGATACAGCTGAGAATTTTAATTGTCGACTATTAAATTTAGGCTTACGGTAATACTCTGGCAACCAGAAAAATAAACTATATATTGTTACTATATAAATAATATGTGCTATTCTAAATCAAACTAATATAAATATAAAAATAAATATCACATGATACAGATGATATAGGAAACATAATTTTAATGCTTTGAAATAGATAGTACATTATAAATTAAATAATAATAACTCTTATAATAATATGTAATATGTATATGTTTTTAGGCTAGACGCATTATTTTCTGACCTGTAAGCTTGTTACACAGCTCTTGCAAATAAATTTAATTATTTCGATCATTGTTATTCCAATATATCGATTTTTCAACAGTTTTAGAGTTTTGTTTAATATTACTTTGTACGTGTTGTAATTGTAACTCAAACATTAACATCAGAATTAGTAAATATAATTTTGTCAACTAATCTAGGTTGCACAATAAACAG